ACCGAATCCTTTAACTAAAGACAGACCATCACCGGAAGATCACTAGACTATACATGTAGTCTACATTGGCGAAACTGGCAGAGCGTTCAACACTAGACGAAAGGAACACAGGAGAAATTTAGAGCTCTGTAAAAGTGGTTCAAATATACCGCTAATCACGTTTGGACAAACAACCATAAAATAGATTTAATAGCGGGAAAATAATTTACAACGGGGAAATAATTGGCAACTATCGGCACAGAGAAACACTTGAATCATGGCACACTGTATCAACAAAAATCGCTGACAACAATTCAAAACATGTACCGGAACAATGTCACACTTTCATTGACATTGTCCACCCGCTGAAGCCGGCTGCAGACTGGCAGTCGAAACCTCGTAAATAAATATTCAAAACTAGAGAACGTCTACGACAGTTTTCGGGACAGTTTGTTCACTAGTTATAACGCTTCGAATATTGAGCTTTCTTACAGATCCGACTGTAATTTGCTCCCTGTAGCAAAACACATTTTCAAAGCTATATAATTTTGGGTATAGACTAATTAGAGCATGATAAATTCATGTCTACAGACGTGGTTCATTTTTGCTGAACTGATCATGACAAAAAATTGATACACTAAGTTGAATTGGAGAATTATCTATGTAACTTGGAGATTTGTGTATGTCCTAAATCATCCAGGTGTGAACCGATTACCGAATAAACTGGATAAGAAAAGATGTCCACTCTCATCTGCCAAAATTGCCAATTTTATACCAAAAATCAAACGCTAAAATAAAGGCGAGTTTGGGCCAAAATGTTTAGATTTTTGTTTATGTCAGGTAAGAAGTTCCGTCTTAACCTTAACCAATAATTTTTAACTAAATTTTGTATGTAACACAGTTTCTGAAGGCGTACGAAAATAATGCTGACGTCAACACTTTTATTTTCCAAGACGCTGTAACTCTGGAGAAATTAATCCTATTGATTCAAATTTTTTGATGAACACTTGTAATAATGATATAAACAACATTTAAAATATCATTAATAATTCATAAACCTTGTGGCAAATCATGTCAGCCATAATATGTCACGTGGAGTGACTTTATATCTGACTCATCTTCATTAGTATTCCGCTTTATATAATTGTTCATCCTAATTAGTATGATTATATAATTATTCATCATAATTAGCATTCTTTTGTAGTCGTATTTTAAGCTATTCAAAACACTCGTTGTTGTGTTTTATGATATAAAACCTGCAGTATTGTAAATGAAATTCCTGGAAATTGGACGGAAACCTGCATATATAAGAGACCCACTAAATAATCTGCGAAGGTGATTTGTTACGGAGTGTTCATTGTTTATACCCGGGTTTGGTACCGAAGAAAAATGGATTGGGTAAGCTATTTTTCTAGGGTATGAAGGGTTGGGTAATCTACTTTTCTAAACAAATCTTATGATTGGGTAAATTATTTTCAATACAAACCTTTAATTAAACAATATCTGAAAATGGGCAGATCATTCCAGAAAACATACATACCTCTCCCAGAGATAAGTAAACCCCCTATCCCCTTCAGATATCCTAACACATTTAGTATATCAGAAACAATATTTAATTTTCTCCGCTCCGATCCGATCCGATCCGGATGGAAGAAATTTCCTCGGTGGGGGAGTGTGGATATTTTCTGGGAGGACCTGCGGTGATTACGGAGCAGTGAAATTAGCAAAATTGACTTGAAAGCTGGATATCATCAAATAACTACTGGAGAAAAATTCGCAATCAATTGCGACCTTTACTACACATAGGGGATTATTTCGTTATAAACGCTTTCCATTTGGAATTAATTCTGCAGCGAAGGTATTTCAAAATGCTGTAGAAAATGCAATCATCTGTATAGACGACGGTGTGCGCAATATTGCGGATGACATTGTGTAGTTTGGGGTGCGACACAAGAGGAACATGATAATCGATTAGAGCAACTCTTTGTACGTCTGCATGCATGAAAAAGGACTAACTGTTAATTGACCACTTGCGTAATAGACTAAATTTTGATCTAGACAAAAATTTCATCACAGCTTGAAAGAGCATCACAAAGTTAGTAATGTTCCAAAGTTTCGTTGCGAAATGTGTAAAATGCGGATAATATAGCCTTGCGAAGTTTGAAATTTTCAGTCATTTTAGATTACAAACGGGAAATTGACAGCCCAATACCCTTTGGGGCTGTCAATTTCCAGATGTAATCTAAACTGACTGAAAATTGCAAATTTCGCAAGGCTATATTATCCGCATTTTACAACATTTCGCAACGAAACTTTGGAAGATTACTACTTTTGTGATGCTCTTTCAAGCTGTGATGAAACTTTTGTCTAGACTTGTTTAGATCAAAATTTAGTCTATTACGCAAATGGTCAATTCATCAAAGTGCTTATTCGATCAACATGAACTGTGGTTTTATGGTTTTCTTTTGACAGAACAAGGCATCCAGGGATGCCGGAACCACGGGTGCAGCGGGTGCAGTTGCACCCGTTGCCTTTTGTCTTCACAACTTTACGGGTGCACTACGGGTGCAGAATACGGGTGCAACGGGTGCATAAAGTGCCCTTTTTGCGTGAAAAATTTTCATTAAAAATTGCATTTTTTGCGCAAAGGGCATTTTTGAAAAATTCAATCTATGTTATTTCCGGAAAAATGTTTTAATTTCCGGAAAAAATAACATTTTCCGGAAAAATTTTCGGTATGTCCGGAAAATTTTTTTTGTATTTAGGAAAAATTGTGGTATGTCCGGAAAATTTTTTTACCCCTAAAATGGTACACTGACCAAAAAATTTTGGGAGACGGGGGGGAGGGGCGGGGGAGGTCGCCAAAAATAATTTTTAGATGCCCTTTCATTTTCATTAGTGCCCTTTTGTTAAGGAATATGCCCTCTTGTTAACCAATTGCACCCCTTGCCCCCAGCAACTTCCGGCATCCCTGAAGGCATCAATCAAAGCAGATCCGAGAAATGTCGAGGCTATTCAACAAACGAAAGCACCGAGAGATGCTGAGGAACTTCGCAGTTTTCTGTTACTTGCAAACTATTGCTCGAGATTTATAAAAAGCTTTTCAACACTTACTGGCAGCACCCTTGAGACAGCTTATTATAAATAACACTAAGTATGAGTGGCGAACGGAACACCAAACTGCTTTTGATGCTATTAAGCAAGCAGTACGGAAAGACTGTATTGTGCATTTCTATGATCCAAAACACTGACATACCTTGCTAACAGTCGATGCCAGTCCTACAGGATTAGGTGCTATACTTTCCAATGTTGGCGGCCACGGAAACACAAGAAATGTTGCATATGCTAGTAGGTCTTTCACCGATGTGGAGCGTCGTTATTCACAAACAGAACGAGTAGCCCTTGCAGTAGTGTGGGGCTGCGAACGCTTTCATTGCCTTCGCAGGAAGCATAATATATTGAAGTCCCCGCACGTAATATGATATCAATTGACGGTATATACCTCAAAAGTTTAAGTTTTTAAGTTTTTTGCCCGCAAAGCATTAGTGGGTAATATCGCAAAACATTGGGGGTATTGAAGTCCCCGCACGTCAGGTCAAGCATAAATTGTTAAAGCTATCAAGAAGCAACTCAAGAAGCAATTAGTTTATATATTACAGTAAAAAGCCACAAGTTTAAAAGCTGAGGGTTAAACTTTTATTATAAAAGTCAAGCTTTTGAGCATATTGATCATAACATCCTCCTCAGTAAATTATCTGATATGGACGTTCCATCAATTACAACAAACTGGATAAGAAATTTTCGTACTCGCCGAAGCCAACGGGTCAGAATGCCCCATTGCATGTCAGAACGGCAAATCCTCAACGGTAGAGTACCCCAGGGAACTGTTTTAGGCCCAATCTTCTTCCTAATCATGTTGACAACCGATCTTCTCGCCGATTGGAAGGACCGATGGAAATACGTTGACAATACTACTACTACTGAAACCATTGGCCCAGATTGTGACACCAACCTTCAAGATCTTGTTAATTACATCGATAACTGGACTACGAATAATAATATTAAACCAAACATTGGAAAATGCAAAGAGATGGTTATTGATTCTGCAAAAAAGAAGCATTGATTTCCTCATTTAACAGTGGATGAAGTTAATATTGAACGAGTGAAATCGCCCGTATCCTTGGCCTCACAGTTCAAGACAACATGAAGTGGAATGAACATATACACAACATAGTTAAAAGAGCTAGCAAGTTAAGAGGCTCTATATGCTAAGGCTGCTGAAAAGGTCCAACACGTGTATAGACACATTGATTACTGTATATACTAGCCTGCCATAATTAGACCTGTTTCGGAGTACGCGTGCCAGATCTGGAATTACAATATCCAACAATATTTATGTGAAGATATTGAATAAATCGTCCTTCGATTCTGAAAAAATCGTCCGAGAATCATTCATCCTTCCATCGCAAAAGTATGACGAAGCACTGATCACGACTAACATCATGATCACGTCGCTGAGGGATCGCCGAGAAAAATTATGCGAACATTTCTTTGAGAAGAATATTGACAATGAAAATCTCAAACAACTTTTACCACAAACAATTTTATCTGAATATGATCTATTATATACAGATTAGTTTCTCTTCGGTACCAACCCCAGGTATACTAATGAACACTCCCTTAGCAAAACATAAACAACGAAAAACTTGACTAAACTTTAAATTTATCACAGGTATTTGTTCAAGCAAAATTTTAAATTTCCATCAATTCCATTCGGTAACTATACCAAATATGGTCAGGTGTTCCATATAGGCATACGAATAAATTCAGCCCGCAATTAAATGGAGTTGAACACACAATCCAGCAAAAATCTCCCATACCTGAGATTAGGATGCACCCAGTTCGCTCGCTTCCTGGTCGCAATAAGCACAATCACAAACAATCTATATATAGATTATTGTTTGTAAAATAACAATGCCATCAATGCGGATAAAAATTGCAAACGGAGTGTCAATTCTCACCTTTACATATCGCCAGCGTCAGATTTCCTCTTGGACGACCATACTGACAATTACAACTGTATGATCCTGGCTTGTTTTCGCACTTTGAAAAAGCTCCTTTACAAGGTGAAGTACTGCATTCATTCACGTCTGAAAAAAATATAGAATAACATTATAATATGCCTGGATTACAAATCTTTAAATATATATATATATATATATATATATATATATATATATATATATATATATATATATATATATATATATATATATATATATATATATATTTAAAGATTATTATTAGTAATAGTAATTATAGTAATTATTATTAGCAGTAACTATAATTATTATTTAGGTAGTAATTAGTAATTAGTAAGTAGTAATTTGTTCGTAAGAGATGTCAGTCTCAAATCCTCCAATTCAGACAGGACTAGATTTCAAGTCCTCGTATCAGTTTTGATCAATTAAATTGCTGCACGAACTTGAAATCTCAGTCCAGTCCTCATAGTCGGATTTGAAATATTACTTAAAAACTCAAACGTAAAACAAGATGTAGCTACTTTTTGACGTCACTAGGGAAAACGATCCCGTTGTTTAAAAATAATCGTACTTTGACAATATTATGAATGGGGGTAGGATGGCTCATTGGGGGTATGATGACTATTGTATCCAAGCCCGGCCAGTCTTAATCGCAATAATTTCCAATAATTGCACAGACAAGTCCGGTTCCACTGTATCCAGTATTACAAGTACAGACGAATGAGCCACGAGTATTCGTACACTGAGCATTGAGATCACATGGATTTATATTTCCATTGCATACGTTGATATCTGAAACTAGCACAACCAAAATATGTGCGGATTAGTATAATATTATGCGCGGACAGAAAAACCAATATGCTTTGAGTCATGTCCTACGTATTGTACGTAACTACATTGATTGTCGCCATGGTCATATATTAACTCGGATACAAGAGCTTGACTCGGTCTTGGGGTAGAAACACTAGCTGAAGGAACAAAATGTTTTAGTTATATTCTGAACAATTTGATCAGTGTAAATCTGAGCATAGTGTAAAATCTGACTCTTCAATTGCACAGTCCCTAACACTGCTTATAACGCAAAGGATCATGGGAATGGGTAATTCAACATGCGTTAGGTAAGCGACTGGGGACGAACCAGGTGTAAAATCTGAAATGTATGCTAATTGCCTGTTAATTGCCCAAAATTCGACCTTTGTCTTCATTGCTTAATAACTACAGTACTGGTTTGTTTTAGGAAACGCTATGGGCCAGCATGTAAATTTCACGACAGATTTGACATGCATGCTTAGAAAAAACAAATAAAATCAAATATGGAAAAACAAATCTTTTTAGTCTGCGTGGGAGAAACTAAGGGGAGAGGCGAATGCGAGAGAAATAGAGCGAGAGAAACAAAGCGAGGAAACAATGGAGGGACGAAAAATTTACGTAATAGAAGATATATGATAATTTATTCTGCTAACCAACACACACGAGACCATTCCCAGTATACCCAGGATCACAGTCACAGATACAGAAGTATGAACTAGGTGTATTGACGCATTGCGCGTTGGTATGACATAATATAAGGGGACATTCATTATTAGTATTATTAGTATCCTACAAATTGATTGGTCAAATTTGATGTATTAAGTTCATCTATAGGTGAATATAACAAAACCGAAATTTTCAAGGTGGCGACTAGCCGTTGTCTGGCCATTATACTGATAAAGACATAAGCGAAATTAAAATAAATTTAGGCCCAAAAAATACCAAAACAATTATTCGCCTCAGGCTCGGTGATTATTTAAGAATATTCACCTCGACTTCTTTTCGGCTAATATTCTCCGATAATCACCTCGCCATATATAATTGTTAAATATCAAGATATCGTTTTTAGAAAAGTTGAAAATTAGTAAAAGGTAAAGGAAAGGTACTCTGTAAAAACAAATTGGTTAATTTTAAATAAATCGACAAATTAGTTCAAATCAGATTCAGTTGGTGTCTGAGATAATCAATTTATTGTTTGTTTCCGAATAAATTTGTTTTTACAGTGCATCTGATCCTTTTCTATACAGCTTAGTGGTGCGGGAGGGAGGGAACCGTACACAAAGCAGAAGAGACATCGATAAGTAGTGTACCCTTGACCTACAGCAGGCAGCAGCAGGCTTACCGCAGGCACGTAAGAGGCGCGCCAACCGTCGCTCTTGGTTGTCCGCATGGATATTATAACATTATTTCATGCCTTTTTACTGACCTACGCAAATCGTTCCATTGCCTGTGTAGCCAAAGTTGCAAGCACATGCGTATGATCCGTGTGTATTAGTACATGTTGCTCCAACGTGACAGATGTTTGCATGTAGTGAACATTCGTCGATGTCTAAAACAGAGCAACAATTAAGTTTCAGTTAAATTTTCCAACACATGATTAGAAATTAAGGGGACTTTCCTAATAGCCAATGGGAAATGTCCCGACATCCTAACGAGTCAAGCTGCCCATGAGAGAAGGAACAATGAATTTACCACAACATATTTAATTAACCTAAGTATAGTGAGTGACACGGTAGTTATGTTGGTCACAAAGCAGAGTATAACATGCAAATTATATTAAAACCGAAAAATATGGTCTAGGACAAGCCTCAAAGATTAATTCATATTAATATAATGGGAAAGGGACTTCAAAGCTACCAGAGCTTAAAATTAGATTGAAAATTAAGTAGACGTTAATACCTCAGTAATCATCAGCTGAATGTAAGTACTATAAAGTGTCCCAAAGTGATTTGACAAAGTTTTATACGTTAGCGTTAGGTTAAAATTGGAATTAGAGGAACTAACATGCCATTACACTGGACAACGGGTACAATCAATTACAAATCAAAAGGCGTGTCTAAGAGAGAGGTGGGGGTAGTTACGCCGAACAAAATAGTCTCTCATGTCCAAATGCTTCGCTAGCAACATTCCATTTCCATTCGACATGCTACGTTTTCTGTTGCTGTTAGCAATTTTCGTTACCTATACTTGGGATACTATCAAATTCGGATTAGAATATACAGGTTGTTCAATCAAGAGGAAAAGATATCTCAAAGTACATTACTTGTGTAGTGTGCACCCACCGGGACGAAATATTTGATGGGATAAAAACAACCATAATATATGAACGCAGAAATACGTCATCCTAATTAGGTAGAATTTTCTGGCTACCCACTATATCATGAACAGATTCTCTGAACCGTTCCTGTCGCCGCTCTACTCGTCCACCGAGCCTAAGTGACAAAGCAAGTGGAATGAAAAAGCTAGTGACTTTGGATTTGGGTGAGTTAAACGGGTGGCAGAGCTTGTCGCATTATTTGAAATTGGAGCAAAAAAGAATTAAGGTGGGCATGAGTGAGGCCGATTCTAAAATCGGCCATACGAAAAGGACAGGACTAGATTTCAAGTCCTCGTATCAGTTTTGATCAATTAAATTACTGCACGAACTTGAAATCTCAGTCCAGTCCTTATAGTCGGATTTGAAATATTACTTAACAACTCAAACGTAAAACAAGATGTAGCTGCTTTTTGACGTCACTAGGGAAAACGATCCCGTTGTTTAAAAATAATCGTACATTGACAATATTATGAATGGGGGTAGGATGGCTCATTGGGGGTATGATGACTATTGTATCCAAGCCCGGCCAGTCTTAATCGCAATAAATTCCAATACCTTCACAGACAAGTCCGGTTCCAGTGTATCCAGTATTACAAGTACAGACGAATGAGCCACGAGTATTCGTACACTGAGCATTGAGATTACATGGATTTATATTTCCATTGCATACGTTGATATCTGAAACTGGCACAACCAAAATATGTGCGGATTAGTATAATATTATGCGCGGACAGAAAAACCAATATGCTTTGAGTCATGTCCTACGTATTGTACGTAACTACATTGATTGTCGCCATGGTCATATATTAACTCGGATACAAGAGCTTGACTCGGTCTTGGGGTAGAAACACTAGCTGAAGGAACAAAATGTTTTAGTTATATTCTGAACAATTTGATCAGTGTAAATCTGAGCATAGTGTAAAATCTGACTCTTCAATTGCACAGTCCCTAACACTGCTTATAACGCAAAGGATCATGGGAATGGGTAATTCAACGCGCGTTAGGTAAGCGATTGGGGCGAATCAGGTGTAAAATCTGAAATGTATGCTAATTGCCCAAAATTCGACCTTTGTCTTCATTGCTTAATAACTACAGTACTGGTTTGTTTTAGGAAACGCTGTGGGCCAGCATGTAAATTTCACGACAGATTTGGCATGCATGCTTAGAAAAAACAAATAAAATAAAATATGGGAAAACAAATCTTTTTAGTCTGCGTGGGAGAAACTGAGGGGAGAGGCGAATGCGAGAGAAATAGAGGGAGGAAACAATGGAGGGACGAAAAATTTACGTAATAGAAGATAATTATATGATAATTTATTCTGCTAAACAACACACACGAGACCATTCCCAGTATACCCAGGATCACAGTCACAGATACAGAAGTATGAACCAGGTGTATTGACGCATTGCGCGTTGGTATGACATAATATAAGGGGACATTCATTATTAGTATTATCAGTATCCTACAAATTGATTGGTCAAATTTGATGTAGTAAGTTCACCTATAGGTGAATATAACAAAACCGAAATTTTCAAGATGGCGACTAGCCGTTGTCTGGCCATTATACTGATAAAGACATAAGCGAAATTAAAATAAATTTAGGCCCAAAAAATACCAAAACAATTATTCGCCTCAGGCTCGGTGATTTATTTAACAATTACTCGCCGAAGGCGAGGTGATTATCGGTGAATAAAAACCGAGACGAAGTCGAGGTTTTTATTCACGATAATCACCGAGCCTGAGGTGAATAATTGTTTTAGTATAATTTCATAGGTGATTATTTGGAAAAAAAATAAAAAACACACATTTCTTCGTCATTTAATTGACAAAACGGCCTCGGCCGCTTTTTTGAAAATCGCTTAGGTGATTATCGCGTAATAATCACCTCAACGGCAACCAATCAGCGTGGAGAATTTTCAATAATCACTTATGTAATTATACCAATTCGGAATATTCACCTCGACTTCTTTTCGGCT